CGGAGCAGTCAGCGCTGGGAAACGGCTAAGAGGGGAGCAACATTTCCCAGGACGAAAGGGCGTTTCTGCTAAATGGGGGGACTGACCTCCCTGACGTTGGGGAGCTTTCTGGAGATGAGCATTAAAAGGCCCCAAGAAAAAAGCAAATGTCTTCCCCAGGCAGTGGAAGAGCTGATGTGGCCTCGGGAAGGAGCTGGGGTTTGATGGTCCCTGGAAAGCGTTTTGGGCCCCCTCCCCGCTCCAGCGCTGCTGGTTCTGCTGCAAGCGTGGGGCACAGATTGGGCCCTGTGGCTGCTTGCAGTGAGGACCTGCACCACCAGCAAAGAGGCAGGACCACCAGCAAGGAGCATCATCCCCGTCCCCGTCGTGCGATGCCCGCTGCACCCCCGCGGCCTCCCGCTTTCTCCCCGACTCACCCCACGAAAAGCTCCTCGCCGAAGGCGGCGGCTGCGAAGGCAACGACGAGCAGGAGGCCCCTCATGGTGGCGGATGCGGACGTGCCTCAGCCCCCGAGGGTCTATATAGCCCACGGGTGTCCCGCTGGGGCACCTCGGGGACCTTCCCACCAAGGCCACATCTGCTGCCCACGCTGGGCCAGTGGGAACACAGCAAACAGATAAGCAAGGAACAGTTCTCTGGAGCCAAAAACGTTTGCTTTATTTGGAGAAGCAAATAAAGGAGCCGCCAACTCAGGGAGGCTCTGAAAACATCCTCCTCGAGGCACAGGGCCTGCTGCGGGCAGCCGGCGAGGATGTTTTTCCGAGTGCCCTGCCTGGTCCGAGCGGGAATTGGAGGTCCCCAGGGTCCGCGTAGCAGAGGGAAGGAGTTAGAGACATGCAGAGGTCCTTTATGGCTTCACAATACACGAGCTGTTGGGTGATTCCTGCCAGGAATCCCCACGCATCCGTGGTGGCATCTGTGAGCTCGTCCCCGGCCGGCACTGCTGGGAGCCACCGGGCTGGGTCTGCCAGCTGCTCCACACACCTGGGCATGAGCTTTGGGGACCGGGGTGATGGGGAAAGAGGTCCTCACTTAGGCAGGACGTAAGGATCCCGGTCACGGGCTAATTGAGGTTGGAAGGGACCTCAGGAGGTCTTTAGTCCAACCTCCTGCTCCAAGCAGGCTCAGCTCTGGGGTCAGACCAGGTTCCTCGGGGCCTTATCTAGTTGGATGTTGAAACCCTCCAAGAATGGAGACTGCACAACTTCTCTGGGCAATCTGGACCACTGCAGGACTGTTGTCCTGGTGGAGAAGGTTCTTCTTATATCCAGTCTGAACGTCTCCTTTTTCTGTTGATGCTGTTGTTTCTCACCCCCATCATGCACTGCAGCAAAGAGCCTGGCTCCATCTTCTCAATAACCTTATAGGTACAGGGGAGCTGCTTGTAGCTCTCTTCTCCAGGCTGAACCGGTCCAGCTCCCTCAGCCTCTCCTCCCAGACGTGCGCCAGCTGCTAACCATCTCGGTGGCCTCCACCAAACTCGCTCTGGTTTATCATTGTCTTTCTGCTAGTGAGGGTCCCAAAACTGCATGCTGTTGTCATCAAGCCATGCACTTAGAAGAAGAGGGACGAGGTGGCCTAGAAGCTCAGATGGGCTCTGCCCAGTTGGAGCTTCAAAGCCAGGGCAGGGCCAGAGCTGAAGTCTACTGCCCCGTCCAGCCCAGTGCGAAGGCACCTGCAGCTGGCTGCCCACCACCACTCGCAGCATTGCTTGCACGGGAGGCGGTAGCTCAGATGGGTCCAGGAACCCACCCGGTGCCTCCCACCAGCAACGTTTTACCAGCAGCACTTTATCGCTGGCTCCATCACGAGCTGTGGAAGGATGAGTCAGTTCGGCAGGCTCGCTTGCCGGAGAGGCTTCCCTCCAGCCGGTGGCGAACCCACGTGGAGCTTTCTAACGCCTCATCTGCACCTTCCCCTGCTTTTCCCTGCCGACAGCCTTGCGTCCTTTGGGTCTGAACGAACACTTCACCCTCTCGCGCAGGGTGTGTTTGTTTTCTGGCCGCGCTCCTGAAGGCGTGAGTAAGTCACCAGCTGCTGGGGAACCGGAGGACATCAAGATAAGCCTGTTAGACTTGATAACTATTGCACCAGGGGCAGGGATCGCTGGTGCCTGATGCTTTGGTGGCTCTGAAGCATAGCCAGCAGCTGTTTGCTCGTGAGCCCCAAGAAACTGGGAGGCTGAAAAACACCCCAAGGGAGCCCACCCATACAGGCCTCTCGAGGGGCCACGGGATGCTCAAGACCAGCCACGCTGGGTAAGAAGAGGGGCCCGTCCATCTCGGTCCTCTCTCTAACCTTCCCCTTGGCCAACCCTAGGGAGGGAGGAAAGGGCTGGGACAAAAGCTCAGGGAGGCCACCCCAGGACACCCTCAGCGGTCAGTAGCTTGGCAGCGTCCTCAGGCAGCGACTATGCCCGAATCTTCATCCTGATTTTTCCTTGCCTCCACTTCTAATGCCGGTGGTGAACCATCAGCACTCAACCTGCTTTCCGTACCCCACGTGCGTGTTCCCTGGGCGTGCTCTTCCCTGACTTGCCAAAAAAAAAAAACCCAACTGCTTAATGTCACTGTCAGCCCAGCGCGCAGAGCAAACCAGGCACAAGTGCTGGGGTGAGAAACCACGGCAAGAAAAACCCGAGTTTTCAACACCCAAAGCACCATCCCCTCCAAGAGAGACTTTTCAGGCTGCGGAAAGAGGAGCAGCACACTCTTGCTTGAGGCAGGTTCGTCCCTGGGGGAAAACACACATGTGCACATGCAAACACACCGAGTCACAGTCCAGGATCTTTATTTTTTTTAACACTTGTGACTTTGCTAATGGCAAAGTCCAGCTGTAGGGCCTGTAAAAGCTTGATTCTGTGTCATTTATTTGTCCTACCAGATTGGGGGCAGAGGGGAGAATATGGCTGGGGTTTTTTTGGTGCTACATAAGCCCAGCAGAGCTCCCTGATTAGCCTAAGGTCTAAGGGGACGTTTTCCAGCAGAGAGGAGCTGCTAGCAAGTGTCCTGCCGTGTCTGGATGGAAAAAAAGTGGGATTTTTGCCCTCCTCTGTTTTTTACTCAGAAAAGTATTTGCATCCTCTGTTAACCTGTTTACTGTGCGGACCAAGAGGTTTGCAGAGGTAGAAAGTGCTGCTAAAGGGCTACTGTTGTCCAGTGTAAAGACAAAGGCTTTTTTTAGCTAACCCTGGTGTTGACCACTGCTCCTGCAAGAGATGAAACGACGGTGCCAGATTTGCAGAATCAGTTTTGAAAATAGCTCAAGCTCGTCATCCAAAGGAGGAAATGCAAAAGCAACTCATGGTGCGGCAGTTTCACATTGTCTATACCAGTAAATTAAATCTTCACGGGAACCTGAAGAATCCGAGTTGGAATAGGGCTAAAATCACACCTAGGAGTGCATATGAGAGTTTAACAGTATAGGTAATTGCTTTGTGGTGCCTGGGAATAATTCTGGATACTTATTTACTAACATAGCTGTAGCTGCAGAAGCCGCCTGAGAGGGCACACGGCAGGACAGGCTACTGCAGTCAGGCTGGCAGTCAGATGCCGCCTCTCCAAGACCTTTCCACCTTGCTCTGACCCTTACCGCTCTTAGATTTTAGTTCTCTCCTCAGCCTCTGCACTGGTGGAAGCCCCTTGGATGATCTCTTTATCTAGGTAGGAAAAGGTCTGGTTTCTTTTTCTAACTGGAGGTCATTTGTCAAATCTCAGTAGTAGTTAGTCGCAGGAGCAGTCACATCTTCCATCCTCCTCTCCTTTCATCGCAGCTCCTACTGTGTCTTGTTGAGGCAGATCGCAGCGGGGCCTTTTAGAGAGTTTTGACTGCGTCCTAAAATCTGTAACGCCTTATAAGGAGTCTACCATGCAAACCCAAATGCAGGGAACCAAAAAGACATGCATGAAATGCTCTTTATGTACAGACACGTATTGCTGTAGGAGGAATGCCCACAAGCTTTTTTTATTCAGCCATATGCCACGCGGTTACAATTGTGTCAAGCATGTCAAGGGAAGAGAATTTACACAGTTGATTCCTATCCCGACTTTTAGTATGGATTGTCTCGCACATGCTCCATAATCGTCTTGAGACCCAGCCATGTCTCCTCTGCAGTTGGGATGATTTGGCTGGCTGGCAGAAGGAAACCGTAATTACCTGTGTCTCGCAGCTCAAAGGCAAAAGAGTATTTGATGCCATAATCGTAGCTCCAGTCAATGCTGCCTCCACTGGCTTGGTCTGAAAGAGAAAGGGAGAAAAAGCCACAGGGGATGAATGGAGGGTTGATGAATGGAGGATTGATCTGGGTTATGCTTCCATGCAGCACTCTCAGCTACCACAGCCAATTTGCGCTGAAGGTGCTGGGAATTTCTCAGGATCAGGCCATACCCAAGAAAGTGAAAGCACGCTTGCTTTGGAAGATATGGCACTGAGATGATGCTATCCAGGAGATTAGGTAATATTTGTGAGGGACAAGTATTAGGCTTTCCTGTGAACTCTCATCTGGCAACATCTGACTCGTGGTGTCACTCTGCTGAAGCAACACTACCTCCAAAAGAGACCTTGCGGGTCAGAGAACCCGGGGGCAGACCAGAGCGTGGCATTTTTCCCTGGGATAGCCCATAAAGCTCAGGATGGCTAAATACTCACAGATAGTAGAGCAAATGCTCCCCACTTTATAGGTGGTGCCATACAGGGAACGGATGGAGCTGGCAGCAGCTTTCCCCAAGGTAGCCTGGAGAGGAGAGGAGAGGAGAGGAGAGAATGAAGGAAGAGTCAGAAAGTAGCCATGCTTAATGATGCTAAATTTCACCATCCTGAACCCTATTTAGGGAAGTCTCCAAACTGGTTTACAACCCACTTTCACTCCTCCCAAAACCAGCTGTGCCAAATCAATGAATTTCTTCCTTACTGGATACTAGTGACAGCAATCACAGCTTCCACAATATTTTGGGGAGGCGAATTAACATAAAAGCTTCCATATCAAATCACCTGGTGTTTCATCTCACTCACTGTCTTACCAATAGAAGGTTCAGAAGAGGCAAGAAAACCCCAAGCAGTCAGAGACCTTCCAATACTTAGCGGTCGGCTTTGTGCTCCCTTCAACTATGTAATGGGTGGTTGTAGAAAAAAGTAGAGCCAGACTCTTCTCGGAGGTGTACAGCAAAAGGACAAGGAGCAACAAACAAACTGCCCCGTGGGAAATTCCACGGAGATATTAGGAAAAAGAAAATCCCCATGAGCATCGAAAACTTCAGAATGGACCCAAAGAAATTGTGGACTCTGTCTTTGGCAACATTCAAGACTCGGATGGACAAGGCCTTAAGCAGCCTCATGTAGCTTCGAAGCTGGCTCTGACTTCAAAGCTGGCCTGCTTTGAGCAGAGAGTTGGACTAGAGACCTCCAGACCTAAACTATCCTATGATGGTATAATTCATATCCTTTCAAAGATACTAATATAGTTGCGGGTGCTGTCCTTTAAGC